GCGGACGCCTTCATCTGCCCCAGCTGCAACAAAACATGCCTCTCCCATATCCACAGCAGGCACTGTGGATATTATTTGACCCTCAAAGGTGCACTCTTCCATCATCTCCCAAGACAGATAGATGCCAACCAACAGGTTGGGGTTATCAGTTTATTTCCATTCCACGTCAGTTTTGTTTTTGTTTAATTGCATTTATGTCCTGTCTTTCCTACAAAGGGCTCATGCTGGCCTATAAAGTTCTCTCCCTCTCCATATTAACCTCACAACAACCCGGGGGGGTAGGGTAGGGTAGGAATTAGCCACTGGCTGAGTGTGGATTTGAACCCTGATATCCCAGTTCCTAGTCCGGTTCCCAAACTTCCATACCAAGCATTCAATAAGGAGTCTGTCCTATCCCTTTTAAAGGTAAAGGGACCCCTGACCATTAGGTACAGTCACGGACGACTCTGCGGTTGCAGCGCTCATCTCGCTTTATTAGCCAAGGGAGCGGGTGTACAGCTTCTGGGTCATGTGGCCAGCATGACTAAGCCGCTTCTGGCGAACCAGAGCAGCGCACGGAAACGCCGTTTACCTTCCCACCGGAGCGGTAGCTATTTATCTACTTGCACTTTGATGTGCTTTCGAACTGCTAGGTTGGCAGGAGCAGGGACCAAACAACGGGAGCTCACCCCATCATGGGGATTCGAACCGCCGACCTTCTAATCGGCAAGTCCTAGGCTCTGTGGTTTAACCCACAGCGCCACCCACGTCCCCCTATCCCTTTTACTGTGGATTAAAAATAAACACATATATGAAAGACACACATTTAAATTGAGTGCATTTTTTTCTATGCACCCTTCCTCAAAAAATATGCACTTTTGTCCCCATTTCCCCCATAAAACGCACTTTACTGGATGCACCACAAAATTTGGACCTGGGTGCAATTCATTTCTCAACTGTGTTCTGACTGCCGATGAATTAGGTTGGTTCGCTTTAGGATGTGAATAAGATTGACTTCCCTCCCTAGTTGGGGAAGAGTGTGGGCGGAGGCGTATATTTAGATGCACTCAACCCCTCCCCCCAACAATTAACAAGGGTGGGGTTCAAAATCACTGACACGAGTGGCTTTTTTTTTTTTTGCAGGGGGATGAAATGTTCACGAAATGTGCCCCATCCTGTTTCATCTCAGCACTAAATGAAACAGATGGGCATCCCTTTTTCCAATTAAGAAGAAAGAGGAAGAACGGCAAATGCTTCAATTTTTTTTTAAAAAAAAACAACCCAACTCTAATGCCTCTCTCTTAAAAAAAGGGGGGGAGAGAAAGAAGAAAGCAAAGAAAATATTTAACTGGCTTTTTCTCCTAAGGGCAAGTAAAGGGAAACTGTTCTGTTGTGAAGTGCATTATACACACACACTAAATGGTGCCTACGGCGTTTTAACTCCTCATTAAATCCCTGGCAGACAACCAGCATGTCATATATTATGTCTTAACTGCAACATCTGCATTTGCATCTGCTTTTTTGCTTTTGAATGCTCCTCACTGCATGCGCTAGCAAGAGGCAGAAAAAGGGAGACAGACAGACAGACAGAGAGAGAGAGAGAGAGAGAGAGACCCAGATGGCCGCCAAGGTGTCTTTCCAATGCAATGGGAACATCTCTCTGTGCCACAGCTTGCCTTCCTCCATCTTGGTCCAGTTCTGGCTTTTGGTGCAATAAAACATATTTGCCTTCACCTGCTCTTACATGTGACCCTGTGTTCTTTTTGACTGTATCTTCATGCCTTGAGATTACGAGCTGTAGAGCATAGCTATAGAGCCTCGGGCCAGTATACCTGAAGGAGTGTCTACACCCCCATCGTTCTGCCCGGACACTGAGGTCTAGCTCCAAGGGCCTTCTGGCAGTTCCCTCACTGGGAGAAGTGAGGTTACAGGGAACCAAGCAGAGGGCCTTCTCGGTAGTGGCTCCCGCCCTGTGGAACGCCCTCCCATCAGATGTCAAGGAAATAAACAACTCTTCCTTTTAGAAGACATCTGAAGGCAGCCCTGTTTAGGGAAGTTTTTAATGTCTGATGCTTTGTTGTTATTGTTTTTGTTGTTGTCATTAATTCTATTGGGAGCCGCGCAGAGTGACTGGGGAAACCCAGTCAGATGGGCAGGTATACAATAAATTATTATTATTATTATTATTATTATTATTATTATTATTACTACTACTATATGACCTTGGTACATGCAGATCATGTTTCAACGCACGTGCATGCAGTGAATGTCAAGGGACACAAAGCTCACAGTGGCTGCTCCCACCTGAGGGCTGCCATTTTGGTTGCCACAGAATGCCATGGACACAATGTTGCATCATTATTTAGCCTTATTCTGGGGCATTCTGGGAAATTAAAGAGGCAGTTGCCAACCCAGAAGCATGGGTGGGGGGGGGACTGCAGTGAGTTTTGGCCCACCTGCAGGGCCCATCTTGCGTCAATGGGATCGCTTTAGTTCCTGTTGCCTCTCTTCCCAAAGTTAAGTCCTTTTCGCTTGGGGAAGAGGGCACAGCAACAGAAGAGGCAGGATGTGATCCATAGGTGACATCCACACTGTACATTTAAAGCACATTCAATGCACATTTTTTACAACTTTTAAAAATTGTTTTTTAAACAAGAACAAGAACCATGACGTAGGTACCATTCTCTTGACTCAGCAGAAGGCCCAGGATTTTTTCATTTTTCATTTTTGCCAAGCTTGATCAATGCAGAGGCATCGTTCTTCCTACAGTAGGCAACAGGTGTTGCATATACTCTTATTCCTTTCTCTCCCTGAATAGGGTTCTGGGGCTATGATTGTGCATAACCTGGGAACATAGAAAGTTGTTTTATACCAAGTCAGACCATTGGTCCATCTCCTGTAGCTCAATATTGTTCACACACATTGGCAATGGCTCTCCAAGTTTTTCTTTCCAGGCAAATAACACTAGTCTGCATTGGATTTACCTGGTGCATACCTAGTTGTCCCCCTGTGTTCATTTGTATCCATGGCCTTCATTTCATAATGGATGAAAGTTGAAGTGAGCAGGCCCATTTGCTCAGTCTTTCATTTATTGATAAAATGAATGCACATCTCTGTCTGAGGTCTCTAAACACAGGCAGTCTGGGCCAGTTGCAGTAATTATACTTTACAATGTTGTGTGGAAGTTGCCCTGGGTTGTTTGACCCTTTTGAAAAGTTCTCTCCCCCACCCTCCAGAAAAACCAAGTTTGAAAAATAACATGACTTTTACATTACTTGCTGTGCTTGCTCTTGTCAGATTGAATGTATAAGAGAGGTAAAAAGGTAAAGGGACCCCTGACCGTTAGGTCTAGTCGCAGACGACTCTGGGGTTGTGGTGCTCATCTCGCTTTATTGGCCGAGGGAGCCGGCGTACAGCTTCCAGGTCATGTGGCCAGCATGGCCAAGCCGCTTCCGGCGAACCAGAGCAGCGCACAGAAATGCCGTTTACCTTCCCATTGGAGTGGTATCTATTTATCTACTTGCACTTTGACATGCTTTCGAACTGCTAGGTTAGCAGGAGCAGGGACCGAGCAACGGGAGCTCACCCCGTCACAGGGATTGCCAACCATCTGATCGGCAAGCTCTAGGCCCTAGGTTTAGACCACAGCGCCACCCGTGTCCCATAAAAGAGGTAGGTAATACTTATGTTACTGAAACATATTTATGTGAATTTGTATCTGAGACGAATATTTACAGACTGGCTCTGAGGCAGGTGGCAGCATAACACAACACACTTGCTGCTCTCAAAGTTAAAAGTCACACAACAGTCGATAACTGAAAAGAACTGCCTCAGTATATATGACGTCGGTAGCTCTGTGGTCTAAACCACTGAGCCTCTAGGGCTTGCTGATTAGAAAGTTGGTAGTTCGAATCCACACAACAGGGTGAGCTCCCATTGCTCCATCCCAGTTTCTGCCAACCTAGCAGTTTGAAAGCACACCAGTGCAAGTAGATAAATAGGTACCACTGCAGCAGGAAGGTAAACAGCATTTCCGTGCACTCTGGCACCCGTCTTGGTGTCCCATTGCATCAGAAGCGGTTTAGTCATGCTGGCCACGTGATCCAGAAAGCTGTCTGTGGACAAATGCCGGCTCCCTTGGCCTGAAAGTGAGATGAGCACCGCAACCCCATAGTCACCTTTGACTGGACTTAACCGTCCAGGGGTCCCTTACCTTTTTACCTTATATGACATCACAATATTCTATGCTACAGCATTCAACCTTTGCCTAGTATTTTGGGTGCACCATTCCCCCATCAATGCACTAAGTGATGCTCCGTTCCTCAGACATGGTCAGTCCTTGATGGAGTGTTTGGGATGAGTCCGATCCAAACTATTTTTTGATGCTGAAAGGCCCGAACCAAGCTATGCAATTAAAAAGCAATAGTTCTTGAAATACAAATTTTATCTTTTTAATAATGAATGCTGTTCAGTTTAACTATGGCCGCATTTGCACCGGGATATGCTTCATCGCAGGGCTGTTTTATTGCACACGCTTTGATTTCCGAAGGCAATTGTAGCAAAACAAGACTATCAATGTCCTCCTCCCCACCCTCACTTTGCATGCTGAGAAATTCTAAACCCCGAGTTTCTACACCCTTGAAAACGACTCTTTCACCTAGTGTCCCTTTTCAGGTACACAAATCCCACCTGGAACGAGCAGAACATTTCCCTGGGAGAGTAACATCAAGTTGGAACAAGGCACATGCCTAAAGGTCAGGCAATGGGCCGAAACAAACATGAGAAGCAGAACAAACGAGGAAGAAGAGATGGATGGGGGAGGGGGGAGAGAAACCAAGCAACAAGAGAGAAGCAACAAAGGATTATATAAAGAAAACAAGAGGCAACCCTGCCCTTGCTATTAACATTTACCTGTGATCCACCTGCCAGGTTTCTGAATGATTCCAAGCCTCAATAGATCACCTCGTTGCAAACTCAATTCAATGGCGTAAGTGGAGATTTCGAGGTCAGCTGAAGTTCCTCTAGCATACAACGTATGGGCATTTTCTCACTGTGGGTGTAAATATTTATAGAAATCTTTGTAGCAGGGGGCATCTGTGGTAAAGAGACAAGATGCCAACAGAAATAAAAATCAATTGGTGCATTTACTGGTTGGCTGGGGGGTTCACTTGCATGAAGGCCAGAGGATAATTGTGGAAGGGTTTGCAAAGTGGTTGCCAGGCAATTCTATGGTAACTCAGATCACATGTTGTATTTGCCCATGTAAACATTGTTTAGTAGTTGAAAGATGGTTGGTTTCAGCAGATTTGGAACAGCTTGCTGAGATGTTGCATGGTCACCCTGGGCTCTGTTGGGAGGAAGGGCAGGATACAAATCGAAATAAAATAAAATAGATAACATATTATCTAATTGAGCATGTGAGCAAGAAGAGCATTGTCTGAATACTTCCTTGATTCCATTCGCTGCAGTTCAGTGTTTAAGCTACCTTCATTATAACACTACTTACAATTTATTGTGGCAGTTTCAGACAATGCCCCCCTTTATGGTTAGCCCCCCACCCCCAATTCCATGTGAAAATGGTAGATGATTCAGTTACATTTCCTTTGATTGATGTCACTCACCATTGACTTGACTTGTTGTTGTTGTTTAGTCGTTCAGTCGTGTCCAACTCTTCGTGACCCCCTGGACCAGAGCATGCCAGGCACTCCTATCTTCCACTGCCTCCTGCAGTTTGGTCAAACTCATGCTGGTAGCTTCAAGAACACTATCCAACCATCTCGTCCTCTGTTGTCCCCTTCTCCTTGTGCTCTCCATCTTTCCCAACATCAGGGTCTTTTCCAGGGAGTCTTCTCTTCTCATGAGGTGGCCAAAGTATTGGAGCCTCAGGATCTGTCCTTCCAGTGAGCACTCAGGGCTGATTTCCTTCAGAATGGATAGGTTTCATCTTCTTGCAGTCCATGGGACTCTCAAGAGTCTCCTCCAGCACCATAATTCAAAAGCATCAATTCTTCGGCGATCAGCCTTCTTTAAGGTCCAGCTTTCACTTACCATTGACTTACCATTATTGATTCCGTCACATGGCTAAATCGTGTTGGTTGCATGGTATCATGATGCCACCTCATTCAGTGCACAATCCCTGATTGGTTGAGCTCACCCATGTGACTAACACAAGAAGGTGAACAGAACAACAGAAGTAGCAGTTGGGGTAGGAAACAATATCACATTACAGGACAGGGAAAACGTCTTTCAGGGAATATTTCAAACACATTGAGATAAATAAATTCTCATTTGAAAAGTAAAACTGGATGATATTTGGTGTAGTCCAAGTCTGAGGGATTTGTGGGAGGATGTGAAAGTTCAGCCAATCCCCTCTGATCATGCATGGCTGTTTTATGAATTTATTGCACAAATTCTCCTCAGTTGTTTGTCTCAGTGGATATTTCAGCGGATAGGCAGGGATGGGGGACCCATTGTCCTGTGCATGTTGCTAGACTCAGACTCCCATCATCCCCAACCATAGGGTGTGCTGCAAAGGCTGGTGGGAGTTGAGGTCCAATACAACTGGAGGGAGAAGGCGGTACTTAGCCAACCCAGGGTAACTTAGCATCTGAATTATTTTTTTCTTAAATGGAAATGTCTCGCCTGTACTTGGAGTTCAGCTGCACCATCTTTGACAGTGACAGTCTGCAGCTCAGGAAGATGGTGGTTCAGCTGAGTCTAGCTGAGTGATGGCTTCTCTTTCTGCCCTCTCTCTTCAGCAGAGTTGTGTATTTAGATACACTCTCTTTTGTGCTAAAAATAACGAAGGGTCATATTGGAAAGAAATCAGTATAGAGGAACTGATCCATTATTGATAGAAATTTCAAGCCAGCTTGCCAGTCTGTTTTGTACTGTGGTCGACCCTCAATTTTTAATGAAGGAACTTACGAAAATCGTAGAGGGTGTAAACCGGTGACCTCGGGATGATACCTTGCAGCAAAAGTTCCCATCGCAGAATAGAGCTGCCTGCCCTTGCATCTTTTCTGAGCTTTACCTCAACCTGACCTTGGCTTTTGAAGGTAACAATACTGTCGGGCACAATACCTTGACTCAGACAGGAAAGGCAGATTTAGGAAGATGCGCAACAGTGAAAGAAGACTAAACAAACCAACCTGCTTGGCTTTTGTGCACCGTTTCCATACATTTACCCTCTGATTAATACTCTTGTCCTGTTTTGCTGTACACACCTCCTGTTTGTTGAGAGAGCCTGTTTAATCAAACAGTTTTTATGAAGATAATTCTGCTGGGAGCCATGTAACAAAGGCACAGGAAGAGGCACAGACTACTGAAGAGGAAGAAAAGAGATGGGGTCAAGGAACTGGAAGATGGGCTGGGCAGGCTCTCATATCAGGCCTGCAAGAATGGAATATCTTGGTGTGTGACTGTGTGGGGTGTGTGCATCTGAAATGGATTGCACTCTCTGTGGCCACAAGCTACCACATTTGAAATACTGTGAACAGTTCTGCTTCCCTCACCTCAAAAAGGATACTGACGTAGGATTCTTGAGCAGCCTTACGAGGCAAAGGTGGTGGTGGTGGTAGTGGTGGGAAGCAAATTTGGACCTCAGAATGTCCAAAGTCTATATCAGATTTGGATCTGAATCACGATGTCCCACTTGCAAAATGGTGGTGGGGAAACGTAACCTTAAGAGGTGCAAACAAGCCTTGATTAGATAGCCGGTAGGGCAGTGACACTCAAATGCAGGTGGCATGAATGTCAATCTCCATCGGATTGTGTCCAGTGAATGAAACACAGAGAGAGAGAGAGATTCATGCTTTATTGTGATGCTCCTTGTGGTATCTGCATGGCAATAGAAGCCCATATTTTACTGGCAGAGTGTGCAGACGTCCCTTCTTATACCTGCTCAAGCGAAGAGTTAGCACACTTTGCCATGTGCTTAGTCAATGTCAGCTCTCCTGCGGTTTACCTTTGCTCTGCAGCAAAGCTATTTCCCTGTTCCCCTGAAGAGATAGAATCAAAAGCATTAGGGGAAGTGTTTGAACTGATACTCTGGTAAGCCCAAGGTCTCAGTTTCAAATGAAGCTATCAGGACTTATCTGTGCCTAATTATAATGGAGTAATTTGTTCCAAATATTATTTTATTGTTGTACTATTTAGCTTAGCAACTCAGTGGCACAGCGTATGATCTGCACTCTCTGGCTCAGTTCCTGGCATCTCTGAAGAAAGAGGACACAGGTCTGCATATGATTAGCATGTGCCAATGGATCTGTATCGATGCAAAAATTAGAAATATTTAATTACTATAGTTTAAATAGAGACGCAATACATAGTACCCTAATGAGGAAGACTGCAACCTGTGGACCTTCTCAGTCTGCTGTGCCTGTGCTGCTAACTGTGGGTGGGCAACTGCAAGGACCACACTTGCTTGTATAGATCTTTAGCATTAAACCAGATTTGGGCAGGACAACCCTTCAGACAGAGAACGGGGGGAGCTAAGATGTGGTCACCATGTCCAACAACATCCAGAGGGCCACAAGCTAGCCACTGCTGAAAGAGGGGACCGTGCTCTGTAAAATAGGACACACGGCCACTCTAAGTGAAAGTCTCTAATCCTACTTAGAAATTCTCAGCAGGAATCACTTCTGATTACATATAATTTGGGTGGGGCTGCAAGGAATACGTTCCAAAAGACTGGGCAAAACTTGTAGTAGTGGATTTCCTGTTTTGGATGGTGGTTGGGCTTGAGGAGCTTTCGAGATCCCTATCAGTGCTACGATTCTACATATTTCCAAAAACTCAGTGAAAAATGAGGCCAAGCCAAACTGTATTGTGCACTCTGATCCTGGAATGGAATGTCAATGGAATATTCCTCAAAAGAAAGGTTCGAAGGCTACAGACTTAACCTACAACCTATGAAATAGTTTTCCTTTTTAACCTTCGGAAAACAAAAAGCTAAAGTGCCACCTGGTCTCCCTGGATTATGGTCTATCGAAATGATTTCTAACAAGCACAGAAGTCACCACCATTCTTGAGAGCAGTGGCAGGAAATGTGCTCGTTTCTACTCCTGCAGAAACTGCTCTTCTTTTATAAACGGTAATGGGAGTAAAATGGAATTACGGAACTGACCTGAACATTCTGTTAATTGCAAGGTGGTGGGAGGTTATTTTCACCAGGGGAACATTCAGCAATTCGATGTTGCAAATTGCTTCACAAGTCATGGAAACTGAACTCATTAATTGAATGATATGATAGGTTAGCAAGCTAGAATCATCAGTGTAAACTATTTAGAGATTCATATAGCAAAAGGAAAAGGAAAAAGAGATGAAGATGTGAAACCAGTAACATGATATTTATTGCATAAAATTTTAATAAAATTCTTCATATTTTCAAGATCAAGTTTCATCCCGGTAACTTGAACAAAATATCTCAGATTTCAATTTGGTGGATAGAGTGCCTGAAGAACTATGGATGGAGGCTCGTAACATTATACAGGAGGCAGCAACGAAAACCATCCCAATGAAAAGGAAATGCAAGAAAGCCAAGTGGATGTCCTACGAGGCCTTACAAATAGCAGGGGTGAGAAGGCAAGCAAAATGTGAGGGAGCTAGTGAAAGGTACAGGAAATTGAATGCAGATTTCCGAAAAATAGCAAGGAGAGACAAGAGGGCCTTCTTAAATGAGCAATACAAAGAAATAGAGGAAAACAATAAAATGGGAAAAACCAGAGATCTGTTCAAGAAAATTGGAGATATGAAAGGAACATTTCGTACAAAGATTACCATAATAAAAGACAAAAGTGGAAAGGACCTAACAGAAGCAGAAGACATCAAGAAGAGGTGGCAAGAATACACAGAGGAACTATACCAGAAAGAAATGGAAGTCTCGTATACCCCAGGTAGTGTGGTTGCTGACCTTGAGCCAGACATCCTGGAGAGTGAAGTCAAATGGGCCTTAGAAAGCACTGCTAATAACAAGGCCAGTGGAAGTGATGTTATTCCATCTGAACTATTTAAAAATTTAAAAGATGATGCTGTTAAGGTGCTACACTCAATATGCCAGCAAGTTGGGAAAACTCAACAGTGGCCAGAGGATTGGAGAAGATCAGTCTACATCCCAATCAGAAAGAAGGGCAGTGCCAAAGAATGCTCCAACTACCGCACAATTGCACTTATTTCACACGCTAGCAAGGTTATGCTTAAAATTCTAAAAGGCAGGCTTAAGCAATATGTGGACTGAGAACTCCCAGAAGTGCAAGCTGGATTTCGAAGGGGCAGAGGAACCAGAGACCAAATTGCAAACATGTGCTGGATTATGGAGAAAGCTAGAGAGTTCCAGAAAAACATCTACTTCTGCTTCATTGACTATGCAAAAGCCTTTGACTGTGTCAACCACAGCAAACTATGGCCAGTTCTTAAATAAATGGGAGTGCCTGATCACCTTATCTGTCTCCTGAGAAATCTCTATGTGGGACAAGAAGTACAGTTAGAACGGGATATGGAACAACTGATTGGTTCAAAATTGGGAAATGAGTATGACAAGGCTGTATATTGTCTCCCTGATTATTTAACTTATATGCAGAATTCGTCATACGAAAGGCTGGGCTGGATGAATCCCAAACCGGAATTAAGATTGCCGGAAGACATATCAACAACCTCAGATATGCAGATGACACAACCTTGATGGCAGAAAGTGAGGAGGAATTAAAGAACCTTTTAATGAGGGTGAAAGAGGACAGCGCAAAATATGGTCTGAAGCTCAACATAAAAAACCCCTAAGATCATGGCCACTGGGCCCATCACCTCCTGGCACATAGAAGGGGAAGAAATGGAGGCAGTCAGAGATTTTACTTTCTTGGGCTCCATGATCACTGCAGATGGTGACAGCAGCCACGAAATTAAAAGATGCCTGCTCCTTGGGAGAAAAACAATGACAAACCTAGACAGCATCTTAAAAAGCAGAGACATCACCTTGCGACAAAGGTCCATACAGTTAAAGCTATGGTTTTCCCAGTAGTGATGTATGGAAGTGAGAGCTAGACCATAAAGAAGGCTGACAGCCAAAGAATTGATGCTTTTGAATTATGGTGCTGGAGGAGACTCTTGAGAGTCCCATGGACTGCAAGGAGATCAAACCTATCCATTCTTAAGGAAATCAGCCCTGAGTGCTCACTGCAAGGACAGATCCTGAGGCTGAGGCTCCAATACTTTGGCCACCTCATGAGAACAGAAGACTCCCTGGGAAAGACCCTGATGTTGGGAAATATTGAGGGCACAAGAGAAGGGGATGACAGAGGACGAGATGGTTGGACAGTGTTCTCGAAGCTACGAACATGAGTCTGACCAAACTGCGGGAGGCAGTGGAAGACAGGAGTGCCTGGCGTGCTCTGGTCCATGGGGTCACGAAGAGTCAGACACGACTAAACAACAAAGGCGCTGCCACTCTGGTCTCCAGTACTGCCTACCTGCCAATCTCACTTTCCCCACAACCCATCCTCCCTTTACACCTCAACAAATCACTCTCTCTTTACACCCCACCCACCCCCTATTCCCTCACGGCTTTCCCAAACCTCCCAATCATAGCTCACCCCACCTCTCACAGTTTGCTGCAACCCATCCCTTCCCAGCTCACCCAAACCCTCCCTACTTGCCCCAAGCCCACCTCCATTCACAGTTTACCCCATCCCACCCCTTTTTAAAGGAGGGTGGGAGGCCCTTCATAAATTGGTTTGGCAAATTGCTGTCTGAAGCACTTCCCCACTCTGTTAATTGCCATGATAGCAATGTTTATTGGGTGGGGGAGAGGCACTTCAGAGAGTGGTTTGTCGAACCACACTCTGAAGTGGCTCTCACTTTTAAACAGCTGACCTGGCTGGCTGCCACCCATACCGCTTGTGTGCTCACATATGAATCTTTCTTCATGCTGGAGTTTCTGTGGCTACCTATTGGTTGCCCCAGGAACTACAGCATGACGACAGCCTCTTAATTTTATTATATAGTACAATATCGCCAACTGAGACATGGAACATATCCATTGGAATTCATGGGGGGAAAGTCCATTGATTTCCTTGGATTTACTCCATGGCTGTCACCAAAACCAGCTGAACGAACTCTACCTTGTAATCCATATTTCAAACTAAGCATTGGACATCTAGGGAAAATTGGGCTGCCCATTCCTTCACAACAACCAACCATTTATTTCAAGTATGAGCTCATGGTTCTTTGTGCACGGATATTTCCCTCCATGTTTGCACTGCATCACAGGCTTCATAATCTTAAGTTTGTACCGTGCAAACAGTTAACAGTCAACATATTGCCAGGATAAAGACATTGGAGCAATTCTAGATAGGTAGCTAAGGATTTCATTGGCTTGGCTTTTTTGGCTTCCTGGAGGAGGCTCACAGCATTTGGAACCAATACCCTCTGGGAATGGTGTTACATGATGTAGAGCCACTCCTACTGTGCATTCTATTCCAGCCTGGAACACTGTTTTGTGATGTAGCATTTTTCTCAATGAGGCATTATATTCCCACTTAGAAAGCTACCTGCTGCGGGAAGCCAAGACACTGCTGAAGCAATGACGAGCGGTTTCCCCCACCCCTTGCTTCAGAAAAGAATGAAGCCACTCAGCCACCTTGTCTTAAAAGCTCTTGTCCAGAAAGCTCTTGGACTCCTCACCCCAAAATTCACAGCTGGTGGGTTGAGTTTGGCTTGGTGGTCCAACAGTCAAGAAGGTGGTTTCTGCGTGTGCTGTAGAGGGAAGTGAGGGGCAAGTGGGGCTCATCCACCTGGGTAGTTCATCTAGGAGAAGGAAAACTCTGATCCTAAACCTCTGCTGCCTTGTGGGATGTCTTCAGGAGAAGAAAAGGCTAAGGAGTAAACCCTACACAAATCCAGAGTAGCATCCCTAAGATAGTTGGGTGGTATCTTGTATGCCTCCTTCTGGCAACTCCTGCAGCCAAGCTGGTGCCAAACACATTCCTCTGCTTTTATTTGGACCAGTCCGGCAAGGCTGGGGGGGGTGTGTCTTGACCTCTGGGCAACCCAGGACTTCCACAACACACTGCCTAGGATTGTGCCCTGGAGAGGTCCCTTTGGTGCTCCTAATGCAGCAAAAGCAATGTGGGAGGCAGCCATTATGAGTTATTGGTCTCTGCAGCCACAGCAGGCGCTGTGATTCTCCAGCGTTTGACTTCATCTCTGGAGGAGCACTTCAGTGTCCCTTGAGGGATGCCAACAATTATAACATATGTTTTTCAAAGGTTTGCCTGTGGAAGCTCTGCAGTCCCACATGTACCATTGCTCAGGCAGCTCATTTAGCAATGAAAGCAACAGGCGGAATGCATACTTTGTGCTGGGTCTTGACATAAGTAAATTGGGTATAGTTTTTTCACTCACAGATCAGAACGAAGAACTTCATACCAAAGGACACAATTAGACCATTTTGCTAATTGTGTTTAATTTTAGGAATGCATCATTTTGGTGCTAACTATAAAGTGCATTTATTTTTTTCTAAAATGTCATTTTATATGTTTATTTCTGCCCACCCCCATTTATTTCCGACATTATGCCTGACAGTGCCTTCTGTAAGGGCCCTCAGGACACAGTGTTGCTTTGACATGCTGAGGCTGCATTCACACAGCAATTTATTCAATTGTCATTACTTTTATTAAGTTCCTCACTGTATTTGAGCTTTCACATGATGTAAAAGCCGCTTCTGGAACTATAGTGGAATATAGTGCAAGGTTTAACGTGTTTGTGGTAGAGGGTGGGAGTGGAGGGGTTTTTGTTTTGTTTTTGGTTTGTTTACTTGTTTGTTCGTTCTTGTTTTTATTATGCATTTTGTGTTTTTACCTTGTATTTTTATGTTGAGAACTGTCCTGGGATCTACGGATGAAGGGTGGTATGCAAATTTAAAAATAAAAATAGTACGCATTTTGCTTCCAGAAAATATCCATTTGCAAGTAAGATGGAAATGAGTACTAAACATGCACTATAGTTCCACCATTGTTCCAGAAGTGGCTTTTACATTGTGTGAAAGCTCAAATACTGTGGTACCTCTGGTTGCGGACAGGATCCGTTCCGGAGGTCCGGCCAGATCCCGAGGTTTTCGCAACCGGAGACACCACTTCTGCGCATGTATGCACGGCAAAAACCCGGTAATATACTTTGCCGCTTACGTATCCTGAAGTTTACATAACTGGAGGGATACGTAAGCGGGGGTACGACTGTATAACGTGTAAATAAGCAATTAGGAAAACACTGTGAAAATGCATTAATCTGCCATGTGAACGCAGCCTGAGTTGCCCTTGGAATGAGACCATTCAGCATTTTTAATTTTTAATTAAAATGGGGCAGTTGGAGGCGCACTTCGAATCATAGAATTGCAGATTTGGAAGGGACCATGAGGGACATCTAGTCCAACCCCCCCTGCAATGCAGGAATATGCAGTTGTCCCATACGGGGATCAAACCTGCAACCTTGGTGTTATCCCTGTTACGTGGGAAAACATGTCTGTTTGGGACTTAATACTGAAAGCAACCCACCAATTTCCACTGATACAACGGGATTGTTTTAAGCAGGCCCGTGATTCTCACAAAGATGTAGCAGGGGAACTCGTGTGTGTGTGTGTGTGTGTGTGTGTGTGTGTTAGTTAAGCATGCCTCTGCCTTGGGCATAATGCCATGTGGTTTGGGAAGGGCTTGCTCAGCATGTTGTGGTGGTTGTGAAATGAATGGCAGGTCTCTGCGAGGCTGGGGCCTGCCTCCTCTCCCCGCCCCCCGCTCTCCCCCTGCCTTCCCCCAACATCCTCATTATTTTCCAAGGGTTAACATTCTCACACGCTCGACCCCTGGGACAATGTAGTGTTTCAGACCCCGAGCCCACCTCACCAGCAGCTTGAAGCAAGGGAGAATTACCGAGATGTCCCTGATAATTTGTGTGTTTCTCATGCAGTTCTGTTTACCTCTGGAGAATAGCTCGGATTCGTGGGGTGGCTCATCTGTTTGTTTCCCAGGAGTGTCCTCCTCCTCAGGTACAAATGCCTTGTTGTTCCCCGGTCCTGTCTGCCTCCTTGGTGACGGATAGATGAGAACCGTTCCCTTTGCTTTGGGAATCTAATGTGATCTGGGTCGCCCTCGGTGGCAGGCAGAACTGAAGGGATTTAAAGAGAAGACAGTTAACACTATGAGAACTTGGAACATTGGCTGGGGAAGGAGCAGGCAGGCTCCCTATCTCTTCCCCGAGGTGCGGGGTTGTGCAGTTTTAACACACTGTGCCTTCTTACGATACCCAGACATTGGAGCGAAAGCAGAAAAATGCCAGCAATGTGGTCAGATTTGAACAGAGCAAAGAACCATTTCCCCCTCGTGCAGGTTAAACTACAAAAGGATGCCTGGGGACTGGCTGGTGTGGATGTGTGCGGAGAGGTGCTTTTCCAAGAATATTTGCTCTTCGTTTATGCAAAAAACACTCTTGGAGGGGGACAGAAGAGATTCTGTTCTCCAGAATGCTAGTCTGGAGGTGCGTGCACAAGTGATTTACGGCAGCCACTTGCGCCATTCTTAAAAATGAGGGGGAAGGGAAAGGCTCAATGAAATGTGCATACGTGAATCAATCTTTATAGATGGAAGTTAGAAATAGTTGCGCAGCTTAAATAGAAATACAGTGGTACCTCGGGTTACATACGCTTCAGGTTACATACGCTTCAGGTTACACACTCCGTTAACCCAGAAATAGTGCTTCAGATTAAGAACTTTGCTTCAGGATAAGAACAGAAATCGGGCTCCGGCGGTGTGGCGGCAGCAGGAGGCCCCATTAGCTAAAGTGGTGCTTCAGGTTAAGAATAGTTTCAGGTTAAGAATGGACCTCTGGAACGAATTAAGTTAACCTGAGGTACCACTGTACATCTCACCATAGGGGGTGAGAGGCGACCTGAGATTCGGTGTCCCGTGTGCCAGCACATCCTGCTGTCTGGGTGCAAATGGTTGATGGGCAAATTTAAACCCCCTCTTGCTGCTCTCCTTTCTTTGGATTGTTTATCCTCTCTGGCAGCATTTGAGATAGAGGACTGCCTCTGTCAAGTAGGGTACATGGCCACACTGTTGGAATTGCTGTGGTTCGTCAAGGAAACTCACTAGAGGCTAACCAATTCCAGTCCCAAGGAAGTTTTATTGGTGCTTTGGTCCCAGATTGAATGTGAGAAATAGGGCAACCAAAAATGACCAAAGATACCAGAAAAGCAAAAATATGGGGAGTTGTTTCTCTTTTTGGTTTAAGGAAAAAGATGACTAAAGGGAGGCATTTTGATAGTTCATAGAATTATGCATGATAAGGAGAAAATGGAAACACACCTTATTCTCTGCCTCTCATAATACTGGAACTGATCTTTTAAAGGAGGTTCAGACAGATTTTGTGGAGAAAAAGAGGTCCACCAATGATTACTAACCAAGATGGCTGATCTAGGATCAGGTGGATCTCTGGGTACCTGTTTCTGGGAAGGAATAGACTGCTCCCTTTGTGCCTTGTTCATGGGCTTCCCAAGAGGCATTTGGGGAACTGAATGCTGGGCAAGATGTGTGCTTGGTCTGATCCAGACATTGGTCTGACTAAAGATTAGTTTTGAAATGAGGGCCGTTTCATACATGAGTGGTGCCAGGCTCGTTGGACAGAGAGCTGCAGCCAGCGGGGATTCCTTGACAAACGTACCTCTGTTATTCAGGAAAACCCTAAAGCAAGCTCAGCTCACATTTTAGAAGGCTGGTGGTCATCACTAACGTACAGGCCATGACCGATTGACACGCATCCCAAAGATGTGTGATTGTGCACACATGCACAGCGCTGAGCCCGGAAATCACCGAAAATGTCACAAAATATGTCACAAAAAGGGTGGAATCGGGGCGGGGACGGGGTGTAACAGGGCAGGGCGTCAGACTTGCTATATATCCTCTTTTTCCAGAGCATGTCGTAATTTTCATGGGTAGAGTCATCACAGCGATCCATAGTTAAAAGTAGAAGTCGGCAAATGTGTAATCTTTTTTTTGATCTCCAAAATATGGCAACCCTATGATGCACTTCGTTGATGCATACAGGGGCTGGGAACAAAAAACCCCGCAAAATGATCATCTACGGTATGTATTTTTAGGCACACTTTACCCTAGCATGTGCGTTTTTGTACTTGGCTGCATGGAAAAAATTGAGGGAATTTCCAAGGGTGACTATGTTTTGTTTCAGGAGTTGTTTCAAAAAGTGCAGATGAGGTAGGTTCGCTTTTAAATGTGAACTGAATCAAATTTGCTGCCCACCCCCCCACCCCATCCATCCCTATCCCAGGCTTTAAGCAGCAAAAGCTATGCAGATATAATTTCAGATGTCACCTTCCTGGTGCAAATTGGCTGGCCACCTGCAGAGTCCTGCAACAGACTTTCTTAGCTGCTGATAAGGTCAGTTTTGCAACGGATTGCCCGTTAAGGCAGATCCCCGGCTCCCCAATCCTACTTTGTGCCCCACAAAACTTTAAGCTTGCCCTGTGTGTGAAAGGGGAGCCACTCGTTTGAATCTATTGTACCTGTTATTAAAGCATTTTTGGTCTTCCTCTTTTATTTTTTGGCAAATCCACGGCGTTCCATTTAGGCCTCTGTTGGCAGACAGGCCTGCGTTTTCCCTGCGCTGCCTTCCTGACTGGCTCTGGGGAGGTGGGGTGGAGGGAGAAATCCTGTTGCTTTCATTCTCTTCTCCCTTTACTCCACCCCGTCCCTCCATTTGAAAATAGAATCTATGATTTCTATCATTTCCACTTAGATAGAAATATGTTGTGAAAGGTAATTTTATTGCAGAGAAATAATCTTCCTAATGTCAGCCATTATTTCACTCTCAGTGTGACAAGCAGGGTAAGTGTTGGAAATCGCTGTATATTTCAGCTAAAGTATCTTGACAACACAAACCAAGAGGAGAGAGGCAGTCTCTTTTGTTAATGAAAACTGCACTGTTATTTCGGCGTATAATGGAGAGCCTCATGTAAATGATTGCCTGTCGTCTGGCTGAAAGAAGAAAGAGGGGAAGGGGGGGTGCAGGTAGGGAAGAAATCGCACCGATCAGGAATAGCGATTGCTGTCCTTTTTTTTTTACTGAATATCTTACTCTTGTCTTTATTATTATTATTATTGTTATTATCACCACCTTCTTCTTATTCATTGCATTTTCCCTTTTATTTTGGAATGTGCTGACTCTGACATTTGGCGCATGGGACATCTTCTGGGGTTTCCAAGGGCTGCGTGATTTGCTGGGTCCACAATGTCAGGCACTCGGCAATCAAACCACAGCAGTCCCCCAAAACACACATACGCCTCGTTTCCGTTATGGGAACCTGGATTTTGGGAAACCCAAAGCACCCGGAAGCTTCCCCTTCCCCTCATTTACGGCCAGGTATTTTTAAGGAGTGCGGCATGCTGGGTAAATAGGAGCCACATTCTCCTCAAAGAAAGCCAGAGCACAGCTGCGCACTCTGGAACCTGCCGCTTGCTACAAGAGAACAGGACCTCGCGGTGTTTTTAGTTAGGGATAATCCAAGGCTAACATTTACTTCCATGTAATGACCTCTGAGCATTAAGTCCAGGGGTGGCCCGAGACATTTGGGTACCTGAGACGAACAAGCAAGTAGTGCTCCCCCGCCCCCCAGGAAAGAAGGGGTGAGTGAAGATCTACTTCAGAAACAAGGGCAGACTAGAGATCTACATGGGGATCTTGCTGCCTAAGGTGGTCACATCACCTAGCTTCATGGGTCCTGATTTAGCCTGTTGTTTCTTGGGCTCTCTTTACTCTGGCTCATCTCCAGGACTACAGTGGTACCTCAGGTTACATATGCTTCAGGTTACATACTTTGCTAACTCAGAAATATTACCTTGGGTTAAGAACTTTGCTTCAGGATAAGAGCAGAAATCGTGCTCTGGCAGCACAGTGGCAGCAGGAGGCCCCATTAGCTAAAGTGGTGCTTCAGGTTAAGAACAGTTTCAGGTTAAGAACAGACCTCCGGAACGAATTAAGTACTTAACCTGAGGTACCACTGTATGGAGTCTGCACAGTACCTTCAAATCAGTATCCTACCACTTGGAACTGTCATGGCCTCCCACAAAGAATGTTTGTTTGTTTGTTTGATATACCACCCTATACCCGGGGGTCTCAGGGCGGTTCCCAGAATAAAATCAAGATATAAAACCACAAAATACCTAATAAAAATAACAACAACCCAATAGCCCCCCCCAAAAAACACATTTTAAAAGGGCATAGTATGTAAATCGGATCAACCTGGTGAAAAAGGAACGTTTTTGCCTGGAGCCTAAAGGTGTACAATGAAGGCGCCAGGCGAACTTCCCTGGGGAGAGCATTCCACAGATGGGGAGCCACTGCAGCCCTTTAGTCAATACTGGGAAGTGTAGTTTGTTAAGGGCGATGGGACTTGTTTGGAGAACCTTATCTCCACCACAGAGCTACAGTTATCAGAGCGGCTTGACAGGCGATCTGGAAACGGTAGCTCTGTGAGGGGCATGTGGGTCGACTAACAACTCTCATAATGAACTACAGTTCCCAGAATGCTTTGGGGGGAAGCCATGACGGTTTCAAGTGGTAAGATACTGCTTTGACGGTATAGTGTGGATGGGGCCTAATTCTAACAGCTTTTCCATTTGTCTCCCTTTATTTTCACTCTCACTTTGCCATGTTCCACCAGTCGCCTATCGGGGCCATGTGAACATGAGGCTGCCAGTCTGAGTCACTGTGAAGAAACACTGTTTCCCAAACATGGGTCGCCCGCTGGGTTGTTGTTCTTTACTACATTTCCCATAATCCCTGACCGCTGGCCCTGCTAGCTAGGGATGATGGGAGTTGTAGTCCAAAAAGAGTTGCAAACACTACAGTAGATACTGAAGGACAGCTAATCCCTGGGATGAGCTGAGCTACCTAGGTTCAGGTGAGCACAGGGAACCAATCACTTCTCACTTCCTTTTTGTGCAACTTCAGTTGATGTGAACAACTTGTTGCTGTGAAGCCTTCTCCTCTACTTTCTTGTTTGTCTGTGAAATTATGCACCAGTAGAATTGGGGGGACCAGTCCAATGAAGATGAGCATTGGAAGTTTCAATAGAGAGAAAAAGAAACTCTTCTTCACACAGCCCTTAATTAAACCCTGGAATTTGCTCCTGCAGGGTATAGTGACAGCCATCGACTTGGATGACTTTAGAAGAGGATGAGGCAAATTCATGAATCGCAAGGCTGTTGATGGCTACAGTCTACCTCCACAAGATGCTTCTGAATGCTAGTTGCTGGGGAAATGAGTGCTGTTTGCAGGATTCCTTTGGGCATCTGCTTAGCCACTGTGAGAACAGAATGCTGGACTAAAATGGCCACTCTCCTAATCCAGCAGGACTGTTCTTACAGACCCTCCAAGTGTCCCTATTTTCCAGGGATGTCCCTGATTTAGAGAAGCTGTGCCGGTTTCTGATTTGATCCTGGAATGTCCAAGTTTTCCTTAAGATGTCCCTATATTCATCAGATAAATGGAGTTATCCGACCCCCTGAATCGTCTGAAGGCAATCCTGTATAGGAAAGGGGTTTTAATTTTTTTAATGTTTTTTAATGTTTTTATATATATTGGAAGCTGTCCAGAGTGGCTGGGGCAACCCAGTAAGATGTGTGGGGCATAAATAGTAAAAGTATCATTATGGAATGGGACTTCCCTATTTTCATCAGAGAAATGCTGGAGGGTATGTTCTTAGGTATACGTCTTTGTCATTCCTCCTCCTCCTCCTCTTCTTTCTATACCCCACCCATCTGGGTGGCTTCCAACACATATAAAACCATAATAAAACACCAGACACTAAAAACTTTCCAATACAGGGCTGTCTTCTAAAAGTTGTGTAGTTTTTTATCTCCTTGACACCGTTCCACAGGGGACGGCACCACTCCCTGAGCCTCCCTGAGGCTGTTCCACAGGGACGGCACCACTACCAAGAAGACCCTGTGCTTGGTTCCCTGTAACCACTTCTTGCAATGAGGGAACCACTAGAAGGCCCCCCGTGTCCTATACCCCAAGTATTGCAGTTGTGGTGTTTTGCATGCCCCGGATACTTCACAACCGCATATTTGCCATCAGTGCTGACTACTTGAGATCTCTCTCCCGCTATGGGAAGCTGGTCTTGGCAGTGCCCAGAGGCAAAGCACAGGGGACTTGGGCTCAGAGAATGTTTATATTGGGGCAACATTTACCTTGGGACAGGGAAAAGGGAAGCGAAGGACAATGGTGTGCGCTTATGTTTCTCAAACCATTCCCTGCAGCTGATGAAAGCAGGTTTGTGTAAATGTACCCTTAAATACAAATTTTCTAGTTGCTAATCGTTATTTTCCTCCCAGCTTACTAGTTCTTGTGTTGGGTTTCTTCTCTTCCTTTGATCTGCTGCCATTTCTTCAGATATAACTTCCAACTGGCCATTGTTTCTTAAATTGCTCCATTTTATTTGGTGTTCTCATGATGCTTATCAACGTAGTTTGTTACCAGGTGTGGGTGGCGCAGGGCTGATATGAAATTCCTTCTCCAAACAGCCTTCTCTTGTCTTCTGAAAACTGAGTCATATGCCCCCTTTTGCTGAGTTTCTGCATTTGCCCCCCTTTCCCCCTTATCTATCAGTTCCTTACACATTTCACTCCTTCACTTACTCGCTGTTTATATTTTAAAGTGTTGGTCACCAGATCTCGCCCTTGGGAATCTTCTTGGCTGTTGGTTGCCTAGAAAGCCACTTTCAGGTTAGAAACATCACCCTCTTATTTCACATTGTATTAAATGTACAGTTTACAAACTCTGTAGGATAAGGCATTCATCGGGAAGATTGGGAAGCCAGACATTAAGATGAAGTGGCGCCTGCAAGACGATTCACACAACCGCTTGGGCTTCTCTCGAAAGTTCTCAGACATCTTGCCTGAAGGGAAGCTTCCACGATCATTTTGGATTTCATTTTTCAGGGCAAACTGTGCTGCCACTCCCAGCTCCAACATACCTAGACTGAGACTCATTGGACAGTGGAACAATCTTCCCAATTTGAACTGAATTGGAAAGATGCAATCATATCAGCGGTACCTACAGAAGACTTTTTCAAAATGGCAAATAGCATGGGGAAAGGTCAACTTCTATTCACTCCGTTCTATAAATACAGCTGCACAGATCATTCTTCGCCCATCATTCGCCTTAGCGCGAACATTTCCAACTTCAATGTATAAAGTTTAAGTGGTGGTTTGCTCAGGTCTTGCCCTCCAACATTTGGCAGCAGCAAATATAGGTCAAACCCCTTGTACTTTAAAGAGAACAAGTTGTGGCTGTGAACAAGGCAGACAACAGATCATTTCGTTTCCATGGGCTCTGGAGGTAGCATGTTTTGAATGACAGGTTTTAAATAATGCCATTCTCTATACACAAAGCACATTTTCTCCGTGATCCGAGGAGCCAGCAGGTGCCCTCAGTGGCATGGAGTGCCTGCCACCAACTTTGGCTGGGCAGAGATAGCCTATCTTCTGTTGTCTGGGCTCTGGTAACCTCTAGGATAGATTACTGCAATGTGTTATACATGGGGCTGCCTCTGAAGGGGGTTTGGAAACTTCAGTTGGTGCAGAATTCAGCAGCCAAGTTGCTCACTGGGGCAAGATGGCCTGAGCACAGAATGCCACCAATCCTGGCCCAACTGCACTGGTTGCTAATTGGTTTCTTGACCCAAATCAAAGTTCTGGTTTTGACCTATAAAGCCTTAAATGAACTGCCCTGAGCCCTGTGATCATCATCGGAAGCTCTTCTTCATGTATCCTTGAGAGGTCCAGAGGGGGGCCACATGACAACAGGGCTTTTCTGCGGTGGCTTCCCACTTGTCGAATGCTCTCCCCAGGGAGGCTTGCCTGGCACCCTCTTTACATGTATTTAGGCACCAGACGAAACCAGTCCTCTTCTCCCAGGCCTTGGTCTAATTTTTTTTAATGGCCTTTTAAACTGGGGGGATTATTATTTTGTTTGTTACTATGCTATGTGTTTTTATTTTATATTGTAAACTGCCCTGTGATCCTTGGGTGAAGGGCAGTATAGCAATTAAATAAACGAATAAAATAAAATATGTTGATTCATAGAATCATAGAGTTGGAAGAGACCACAAGGGCCATCGAGTCCAGAGAAATGTATTAGGCTTGCCATGCATATGCTATTTCACCAAGGCTAGCCCTCTGTTTGAAGGGCTGTCCATCCCAAGTCCAGATTAAAGATAAGGAACCCTAAGAAGGGACTGACTGAGGAAGCACACAGAACATCAGGTCCTCTGCTTATGGGGAAATAGCTTATGGGGAAATATATTGCATTCCTATTTAAATCAGAGCAATTATTTATAAAAATGCACCTATAAATATGTATTAGCTAATGCAAACTTTACCCAACATCAGGAATCACAAGACAGAGAAACCTGTAGGAGAACACTTCAATCTCCCAGGACGTTCTATACAAGATCTCAAAGTAGCTGTCTTATTAGAAAAGAATTTCAGAAATAGACTGGAAAGAGAAGTTGCTGAATTGCGACTTCTTACCAAACTTAAAACCATGGAGAGACCTGGTCTGAATAGAGACATTGGATTCTTATCTCATTATACATGATAAAGCTATTTTTAGCCATCTCACCCCTGGCTTTTTCCTGTAAGACCAATTGCAGTCGTCAACAGGTTTACCACACCTATCAGCCAATCACCCATTCCCACCACCCTTCTGAGTAATACCCCACCTCACCCTCTCACTATATATAAAGGTCTGGTGACTTCTGTTTCAGTGTATCTGAAGAAGTGTGCATGCACACGAAAGCTCATACCAATAACAAACTTAGTTGATCTCTAAGGTGCTACTGGAAGGATTTTTTAAATTTTGTTTTACCGAAGTCAGTGTCCACTCGTGTCGTCATTTGTGATGCATAATTGGACACCCTAAACTATACACGAGCATCAGTTGCTGCTAGGAACATGGCAGGCCAGTTCCGTTTCAGCTAAGAGTTCTTGATGGTATAATAATAATAATAATAATAATAATAATAATAATAATAATTTATTTGTACCCCGCCCATCTGGCTGGGTTTCCCCAGCCACTCTGGGCGGCTTCCAACAAAGATTAAAAATACATTAAAATGTCACACATTAAAAACTTCCCTGAACAGGGCTGCCTTCAGATGTCTTCTAAATTTTAGGTAGTTGTTTGACATCTGATGGGAGGGCATTCCACAGGGTGGGTGCCACTACTGAGAAGGCCCTCTGCCTGGTTCCCTGTAACTTGGCTTTTCGCAGCGAGGGAACTGCCAGAAGGCCCTCAGAGCTGGACCTCAGCGTCCGGGCAGAACGATGGGGGTGGAGACACTCCTTCAGGTATACTGGACCGAGGCCGTTTAGGGCTTTAAAGGTCAACACCAACACTTTGAATGGTGCTCGGAAACGTGTTATAGATGTGGGTAAAACTAATAAATTATTTGTGGTATGAAGGGAGAAATGTAAGCTGCCAGAGAATTCTTGGGCAGCCTGGCCAAGCTAGGGCCATTAAGGGAACGGTAGATTGCCACTGAGGGTCGTTAACAAGACAAGAGAACTTCTTGCCCCAGGTGTGACCAGAGACTGGGAACAGGGAAGGTTGCCAGGGTAACTGCTCTGGGGGAAGGCGAGGGGGTTTCTGGGAGGAGGAAGGGGTGAGAGCCATCTTTGGAGTGTGTTGACTGCAGGCAGCTCCATGCAGGACCCCCTCCATGCAAACCAAAGGTGCAAATGGGTGAATAAACCGTATTTCTCAAAGCATGACAGTCTCCACCGTGTCTTCCATCCTCCAAAGGGACACAGACCTTGTGTGGGTGCCTGGGACCCTATGCGCTCTTGCCACTGCTTGGCAGAGAGAGGGGCAGGCATCGGGCTTTTGTAATATTCTAGTAGTGCCACATCTTATGGCAATGGGGTACGCAGCTCACGACCCATCTTTTTATGTTCTTACCTGAACACCTGTATGCAAATTGTGAAACTGAAATAAAATATGTCTTGAGCTTCCTTTGTTGTTTCAATCCCAATAAGTCCTCTGCCAAAGAGACAAGCCTTTAAAAAATCAATTTGCCTCCTTGGCAGCAGGAACATCATCAGCAATATCCACAAATAAATCCCTGGCTCCATGGGGATTTTTCCCCTCTTGAGCATACATTTTGCTTCCTTGGATCTTGATGTTTCACATTTAGAGGCCACCCATAAATACTTATTATTATCTCCCATCTGTCTCGGGAGAAAATGGAGGAGTGCGCCTTTGGCGGTGAGGTCAAACGGTTGGAAGGTTGCAGCGCCAGCTGTGGCTGTAGAGACCCATACAGGAGAGACATGTTTTGTTGCAGCTGGGGCAGCTGAAGAAGGCATCCAGTTGTGCTGCTGCAGATGCACCATGGCATTTCTTCTCAAATCTTTGTGTCTCACTGGTCAGCTTATTATTGCTGCATAATATTTTACCCTTTGAACATGAACATAATATTAACTCTAATGAGGTTCTGAAATCCAATTGCTAAAGAAGAGAGAAAATAGAAGCCTGAATATCACTTCAGAAAGTAAGAAGAATCTGCTGGATCAGGCTGAAGACCCATTCAGCCTGACATCCTGTTCTCACAGTGGGGAAGCCCACAAACAGGGCTCAGGGAAGCCCACAAACAGGGCTCAGGGATCACCTGGACCTTATATTCCAGATTGACCACTGAGATCATTTGCCAGAGTGGTCGTTGGTTGTTCCCCAAGTTGGCGAGGCACATTTGACAACCAGAAGGAACTGAACCTTTTGTGTCACCACCTCAGTCCTGTGGGACACTCATGTCAACGGATATTCATTGACCTTCTTCTGCTGAAAACTTTTCTGTTCTGTCAGGGTTATGCAGACAATTAAGAATACATCTTTCCACGGTCGTTATCTTATTTCTGATTTTGACTTTTTAATATGAGTTTCACCATACTGTTTTGTTGTGAACCACTTTGATATTTTCTTTATGAATTTGTGGTATATAAATATTTTTATGAATGAATAAATCCATAAGCGGGACATGACTACAGTAGCCCTCCTTCTACGTTTGATTCCCAGTAATTGTCATGCAGAGGATTATTATTCTGAACATCCTTTATTAAGCACTTCTTGATTCCAAAGAAGCAGTCGCTGTCATGATGGTAAGCCATCATTGATGATAATTAGCAAACCCACTTGCTGCAAGTGCCAGTGACGTCTGCAGCTTCGTCACGGGCTGTTTTCCCTCACCTGTTTGCTGGAGTGAAGAACGTGAGAGCTACAAGTTCCCATGAGAAGAACATTCCTGCATTGACATGGGTGTGTCTATCATCAGACAGTTCTGCCCATGCTCAGAACTCTTGATTAGCTAAAGCATCACTCTGCCCTCCCATTCATTTACACAATGTGGGATTAGATGGTTGTCTTTGGGGGGCTGAGTAGGAATTATTTTTTGTTCTCTTTTGCTCACTTACTCCATACCTGAGTGGATCGAGCGGATGAGACTAATAGTGGGTCATCAAAGCCAGCTCCTAGGGACCAAGGTCCCTTCGTCACCACCCCAAAGAATTTCGGAGTCAGTATTATTTCTTAAGAGCCAGTGTGGTATAGTGGTTAAGAGCAGTGGACTCGTAATCTGGTGAACTGGGTTCGCTTCCCTGCTCCTCCACATGCAGCTGCTGGGTGACCTTGGGCTAGTCACACTTCTCTGAAGTCTCTCAGCCCCACTCACCTCACAGAGTGTTTGTTGTGGGGGAGGAAGGGAAAGGAGATTGTTAGCCACTTTGAGACTCCTTAAGGGGAGTGAAAGGCGGGATATCAAGTCCAAACTCCTCCTCCTCCTCCTCCTCCTCTTCTTCTTCTTCTTCTGCTGCTGCTGCTGCTGCTGCTGCTGCTGCTGCTGCTGCTGTTAGAGTAGACCCACTGGAGCCTACTTAGGTCCATTTACTTCAATGGGTCTGAGTAGGACTACCATTGTATCTTATGGAGACACCAT